GTTATAATATCTGGTAATGCATGAATCTATCTGGTCATGCATGAATCTGTCTGTTATAATATCTGGTCATGCATGAATCTATCTGTTATAAAATCTGGTCATGCGTGAATCTATCTATTATATCCATACCTTGTTAAAAACTAGACTTGTGAGTCATTGATTTCTTTGTAAATATCTGGTTATTTGCCATACGTTGTTTGCATTTTCAGCTATATTTTGACATCCTGACCCTGACTCTTGCATGCATTTTTCTACATTTGAAGTCCTTCATTGTAGACTCTGATCAAATCGGTCACCTGTGAACCTTAGAGAGATGTGTATTCATTTTTTTGTTAAAGAAAAAGTGTGTGGTTCCAACCCTAAGGCATATTGGATAAATGGTGTCAGACCTGAGGAGCAGCGGGTGCAGCTGGCACATTGTTCCGGGGCCCATGGAGCTCAAAGGGGCCATAAAGATGACAATTTTTACAGTACACTGGTAAAGAACAATTTTTACAGTACACTGGTAAAGATGACAAACAAAACATGACATTTTTGAATTGTACGTTATCCCTGTGTGGGTTCTGAAACCCACTGGGGGGAAACAACAAAAGACCCACAGCCTAACCCAAAAGCATATCGTAAAAGTCGACAGTTTTGGGAGTTTTCTTTCGAAGTCGGAGTAAATCTGCCTGAGAGGCAAGGAACCATACACATTTCAGTGCATGTTTTGTAATTCGTTGTGTTTCTCATTTCTTTGCCTGTTTTGTAATTCTTTGGGTTTCTCATTTCAGTGCCTGTTTTGTAATTCTTTGCTGATTTCATCTCAGAATGTGCCCTATATATCTCCACCATCATTCTCTTATTGCAGTCCAGACAGGTATTTGTCCAGACATTTCTCTGATCTCCTCACTCTTTTTGAAGTCATCCCATTTTATGTTCATGATTTCTCTCAAATATTTATTTTCACATGCCTTTAGTTTCCATTCCACATCTTTGGTGGTTCTCCAACTGTCGCTAGCATATGTTGAAACTGAAATAATTTTTGCATTGAAGATTTGTAGTTTGGTCTTAAAGCTGTATAAAATTTGGAGCTGCATATTTTGTTAAGGCTTTTAAAGAATGTTGTTACTTTGCCAATGCGTATCATAATTTCCTTTATTGTATCTCCTTGAGAATCAAAATTGCTACCCAAATAGGTGAAATTGTTGGTTACTTGTATTCTCTAGTATGACATCTACATACGTTGTTGCTATCTTCAATATTTTTGTTTTCTCATCACATTTTTGTAGTCCTATTTTCGATGCTATAGACAACACATGGCCTGTTTTTCTTTTGTTCACCCTAAAAGGATGGTTGGCAAGCTGCTGTAGTTTACAGCCAGGATGTGATATCTGCAGCTTTTGGCTCAGCGCATCTGATTTTAGCTGTCTTAATAAGTCAATATAAGTCACCTTTTAGCTGTTGCTTGTTGAATGGCAGTGGGTTTTTTTTATCCCCCCCCCCCCTCCCAAAATTTGGCACCAGAACCCACACGGGGAATGCATCCTTAGTAAACAACTAATCCCCTTCTCATACCGTGGTTTATATTATCAAAGTGCAGGAATTAATTTGTGACAGCTGCTGCCCAGCAATCATCAGTTCACTCATAAGAAGGTGAAACAACTAGTCAGTTGGCTCGATCATTTCACAAAACTGTCCACTGACCGCCAGCCTGGTCCATAGAGTGCTGATGACGTCATTTATGTCCATACATCTTTCCATATGTCTTGTACATTAATATAGACTACCTAAAACATTTGGATGAATTTGTGCGCTCTCTTTTTCTTTCGTTCTGTTCAGCTTTCTAGTATTAGTTTGTGTTTTGTTTAGTAACTTGTTGACCATGAAATCCATGAATTAGGGAAAAAGCAGAGGCTAGGAATGCCACCTTATACACATCCCACACTAGGAACTTGTCCTGAAAGTTTGTCCTAACTTTGTGCAGAAAGACATGGCAGAGACGGTGGAAAAAGAAACAGGGGACTGATTGTTCGTATCACCACATCTTGTTTATAGAAAACACATTTTGAATACTAATTGTTTTTAATAAATATATCATATTTTATATACTAGCCAAGCCACCCATGATCAAAAAAATCGTCAACGTATGAGCTTCCAGCAGAAATATCATATGTCTTCCATGGTTGACTGTTTCTCCATTTTGATTCCAGAATATGTTGTGCTATGCATGCCTTTGATATCAATAAATCTGTGTGCATTGATTCTACTGTGTTTCTGAGAGATCTCTGACTGAACAAATGAATCAGGACTTGACATAACTACACTCAGAATATCCGACACTTAAAATCATGTTTATCGATTTCCTTCTTATTTGTTCCAGCAACTGACTGCCTGCCCCCCCCCCCCCCCCCCCCCCACCCTTTTCTTCTGATACTACTCAGAGACATAGCAACGGGTGGTGCGAGGAGTGTGGCCTGCACTGGGGAAGAGGGGGGGGAGGGGAGAAAACATACTCGCACTTGTTGCTGCTGATGATTATGATGCTGTTTGACCACCCACCAGCCCCTAGCTGACACCCGCCTGTATAATTACTTTTATATATTTTACTATATAACATATATACTTTCTATCCCCTTCCACCAAGCCAATCAGTACCCCTCACTTTCTTCATTCGGCTATATAACTTATATAAATGTAGTCCCATATCCCTCTGATACATCACCTTTATATATTTCTACTGTATAACATATATACTTTCTATCCCCTGCCACCAAGGCAATCCGTACCCCTAGTTTTCTTCATTCTACATTTTAACCCCTAAAAATCGCCCCAGCCCCACCCGCCTCCAGTAAGCGTCGTCTCTGAAAACTCAAATTCTCTGCTCCGCCTGTCCCACCACTCACAAAGCCACAACCAGCCCTGAGACTTGCTTTGCGAGAGAAAAAATAGTCACATTCAACCAACATCCCCCGAAGGGGGTGGGGGGGGGGAGGGGTTGGTTATAATTGTGACTACTAGGTTTAAGTGCGCCATCTAAAATGGCTTAGCACTGCTCGCCACCAAGTAGCTCTGAAAAGGACGCTTGCAGTGTTGATGCGATCAAGAGACACAGACCCAAATACTGTCCTGACCTCCCAGTGTGGGTTCCGGGGCCATGTTGTGGGGAAAACAAGAGCAGGACACACTGCCTCCCCAACATGCATGTCAGAAAGAGTCGACTAATTGGGGCTTCCTTCGAAGTTGGAGTGCATCTGCCTGATGAGAGGCAAGGAACCAAAGTCTGCATGCAAATAAGTGTTTTCCTCAATTTCTTTGGTTACATGCTGCAGGATATCGCGGATTGTAGAGAAGCATGATCTATCACCCCAGTCAGCAAGGCACCTGATGATGATGATTTCTTTGGTGGCGGCTGTTTAACAAACGTTATGTAACGGAAACGCCCTAAAAATACGGGGGAATTTCTTCCCTACTTACTACTTCTGTGCTGGTACTTGAAGGTTTAACAGCCTGTGACTGTAAAATCTCAATCTGGGTTGCAGATCAACAGGGCAAATCCTAGATACGGACCCCGAAAAGTTATAACTGGGGCGCTAGTAACTGTTACATCAGCGTAACAAGCCAACTACTTCTAGTTGACCATGTTCTTAGTACACTTGTTTCCATAGCGAGGCGCACACGCCGTCTGAAGGTGACAGGTTCGATTCCCGGTAGGGTAACTCTAGCTTTCGATTTTTATGTTGTCTAGTGTATTCTTGAATCTTCCTACTTCTGTCTATAAGTGCCGATCAATAAATTTTCTGTTACTTTATTTATATACTACATCAAGCATGATCGTGGAAATAACAGCTGCTTCCAGAGCATTCGCATGGTCAGCGGAACAAGCAGCCGCACACACGGTGATCAAAATATCCAAGGTGCTCCAGAAAATGGCAAAAGGCAGTCTGCGCCATGTCAACACCCTCCTCCTCCATCTGGATCTGCAAACATAGGCATGTCAAAGTAAAAGGTATTGAACGAGCGGACCAGTTAGGAAGTATTGCTCCACTACATGAGGATATGTTGAAAAAAGAATCGACATCACAGCACTCGGAACTCTCCCATAAGTGCTCTCGAGTACATCTTCAACAGCAGGCGATGTGTTCAAATTCTGCAGCAGCTGTCTGATTGTTTATCCGTCTCATCCTTCCTCTGTGTGTTGAGAGTCGGTCAGATCCCCTGGTAACTCCTCGCAGCGTCACTTTTCTCAGAATGCAATGATCTATCTGCGTATCCGCACTGTGCACTCGTTCCCAAAGGGCCCGCACACTGTCTAGCTTGTCATACCTCAATTCACCAAGTGGTGCAGAGCCGACCAGTCTATCTGCCTGCTAATTTCCCAACACACAGGCCACCGCATGTGAGAAGATGCACGGACAGAGCAGGTATCATCAACATTATACTAATCAGACTGACAGTCAACGAACCTGTGACGTTAGCACGATTGCATGAGCTCGGAGGGAAGCCAGGTGAAGCACGTCGGTGCCGTCTTCGAGGTCATTTAGCGATATGTGATTAGCACTCCGGACAGATCCATAGGTACTCCGCTCTCCTTCTCTGTATCTCCACAAAAGTAAAACGACTGATCACACCCGTTTTGTATTGATTGATTAACCAGAAACCGTACGCATGTGGTAAAATGTTCATATTGGCTACTCCAGGTTGCACACTCATGTCCACCAACTTGGACAAGAATACAGAGTCCTGCTTGTTGTCGTGATTTTCTCTGCAACATGCAACTCGCATGGCATTAATGCCATTATTCCAGTCTAATGCACGCAAAAAGTCAAAAAGGTGGACGAACAGCCAGAACTTTCCCCCGGAGGTTATAGCCGGTGAACGCGAAGAAGAAGAAGAAGAAGAAGAAGAAGATATCGCATGACAGATGATTTCACAGGGGCATCATACACCCTCAATCCCTAAATACAGCCCCCTGTATACAGAGTTCAACCGTTGATGGCTTTCACGTGACAGCCAGCAAAATGGCGCCGCCCAAAGCCCTGTTGTTGTCTGCCGTCTCCAAGTTCTTTGAATATGACACGCCCAGAATTGTCCACATCAGGAGTAAAAAAGTCGGCATCATCAACCGATTTATACAGCTAGTGATCATTGGATATATTATTGGGTTGGTAAAAGTCTTTGTTTTTTCTTGATTTTTTGTCTCTTTCGAAAAAAAAAAACGAATTGTTTTGTTTTCCGCATCGTTAGTTAGAACTTCGAAAGCATTTAAATTTAATGACTTTAAATCTGTTACTGTTATGTGTTTGTTATGATTGTTTATGTTTAACTTTTTTTAAAAAAATAAAGTTACCATTCACTTGGTACATTGCACAGATGTACCACTAATTCAGTCATCGTCGTCATTATCATCATCATCAACAATTTCCACTTGTACCGTTAAGTGTTGTGGGGAGGAACAGTTTTTGATCCATTGCTGGATAGGTATCTGATCAGTGGCTATTTTTAGGGATGATATTGTCATGGATACTAGGCCGCAATAAAATTTGCCTTCTCCACCCACAGTTAATTGTGCCAGTTCCATGTTGGCTGACGGGACATACTGACTATCAAATTTCACCACTGGATGCTGATGAAGCGACAATGGGAGACAAGACACTCATGCTCATACTTTGTCGCATGGGCCAAAACCGGCTTCTGCCTTAAATGTCAGTTTAAATGCACATATCTGGAAAAAGACCACTTCATCCTGACAGACATAAAAGGGTCTCACCATCTTGTCTGTTTACAGAAAAAGTTCACTTTGGGAGTTTTATTAAGACAGACAGGCTTGATTTCTTAATAACAGTAGGTAAACAGAACTCTTCCAGTACCAAAGTAATGCCAGAGTGCAGCAGTAATGACAAGATAAAATCATATATGTACTGCAACCACATAGACCAAACATACAGCACACTTTAAAAGACAAATGTCTTGTAGTGCTTGAGTAATTATTTGATACTTGTTGTCCTTATCGACATCCTGGCACATCTTTCCAGCCCATTCATACTCCAGCCTCAGATGCAGCAGCTACTTTAGTGTTTTCATGCTCAATCTAACCGACAGGAGTTGATTAGCATATTTTCTTTCTTTGCCAACAACCTTTTCTGCATGTCTGTCCTTGTTTAATCCCAGTTTCCAAAAGCGGTTCATTGTCACAGGCTCCTTTGTCTCATTCTCTAGAATGTAGCACATCCAGTATTTCTGTCCTGTCCTTGCTTCCTCCACCAACCACTGCAGACACAGCCAATCTGTCGGCTCTGTCATTTCCTTTTTCTCTGGCTTGAGTAAACCTTTACTAAAACTTAATATGTACTAATATACATAACATGTTGACTGATGAGCTCGATACTTGTTTCTAGTTACTTGTCCTCCGTATTGACATCCTGGCACATCTTTCGAACTCATTCATGCTCCAGCCTTAGATGCAGCAGCTACTTCAGTGTCTCCATACTCAGTCTAACCGACAGGAGTTGATTAGCATATTTTCTTTCTTTGCCCAGCACTGGTTTCTGCATGTTTTTCCTCACTGAAAACTCATTTCCAAAGGAGATTCATCATCTGATACCTATGAATTATTATTCACTCACACATTGTGCCTTGTTTGGTCTGTAAAGAGTTATGGGGGAAATGGAAAGCAGAGATCCCGAATAATTTCTGAACAAAATTGTTATATCAACTGGAATTGTTTATGGTAGCATCTATGTGTGATCATTGGCTTGTTGCATTTCACAACTTCATGCACTTTGAGTTATCAGGGATCAGTTTCTACAGCATAAGTTTGTTTTTTAAAAAATCCTATTGTCATGGATTTCAGACAGTGGTATGAGCTTCACACCATAGTAGAAATTGGGGCCTGACCACATACTGTTCCCAAAGTCAGCAGCCGATGTACCGCAACCAGTCTTCATTGTGGAGATAACAAACTATTTATTAATTATTTATTGACAATGTTTATGGTACTTTTCACTGTATATATCCCTGGGTGGGTTCCAGGACCCCATTTAGGATAGGGGGAAAAAGACTAGACCCCCCCCCCCCACACACACACTCTCCCCACACCCCAAACAAGAATGTCATAATAGTCGATTATCTAGGGGTATTTCCTTCGAAGTCGGAGTGCAACTGCCTGAGAGACATTGAAACAGCAGTTTGCATACAGATAAGCCCCGTCCGTTAAACTGATGTGCATGAAAAAAATGCAAAACGCATCTTCTGCAATAAGACTGAAGTCCAGAAATGGACGAACAACCACAACTTTCCAGTGAAGTTTACAGCTGGCGAACTCAAAAGAAGAAGAAAGAAGACTATATATATATCAGTGTTAATTAACTTTATTTACATTTCTTTTCAGGTATGTTATTGTTTACAAAAAGGGTTACCAAGAATTTGATAATGTCCAGAGCGCTGTCACAACAAAAGTCAAAGGTATTATATTTTCTAACGACTCAGACATAGGAACAAGAACATGGGATGTGGCAGACTATGTCATACCACCACAGGTAAAGCCGCAACACATAGATCACTAACTCTTTTTGTTTTGAAATTCTTAGTTTTTAAACTCTTTTTGTTTTTTTAGACTCTTTTTAAACCATGCAATTTGATCATGTGTTCATGGGCAGTCAAAAGAGAGTATTCTTTTCTGGCTTTTTTTCCCTCTTAGCCAGTTGTTTTCTTATGGTCCTTTTGTCCAGCATTATTATTATAAGATCTTTGAACTCCAGCATTGGTTACAGTAAACTTGACCGTCTCGAAATAGGAAGTGTTAAAATACTAGGTACTTCAGTCAAATTTTTAAAATGCCCTCTACACCAATAAAAGCAGCACAGTTAGATAGCTGTAAACAATCTCTTTCCAATGGTACCTCATTTAGGCTTGTATGTCATTTCTGAGCTGAGATATGTAGGTTTTTGTGGAGATGAGATGTAAGAAACAGCCGCTAAAACTTGTGACCCAGAAACAAGAAGTTTTTTGACTGCGCAACCTACTGCGCAGTTCTGTATCGGCTTTGTTGACATTGGACTGTCATTGGACAAGATGGCAGGCAGTGAGACTCAGCTCACTCAGCCGCATGCGATTGCCTAAAAAATGTCACTGTAAATCTAAACAGCCAGAGTCGGGAAAAACAATTTAATATGCAAATGTAAAATTGGACGGAGAATTCAATTGTAACTAGCATTACCACAACTGGTAATGTTTAAGCCTAAAGCCAACCTCGAATTTACCGCTATTTTCAATCAAACTGATAGACTAACAGAAAAACAGAGAATGTCCGGCTGTCGTAGACATGCGCTGTTAATCGGGTTCCTTCCCGCCGTTTTCAGCTATTTAGAGTGGGTGAAAATCACACAAATGGCAAAATTTCATGAGAGATTAGGACCCATCCCGAAACCCCAGCCGACATTTCCGAAACAAGTTTTAAACGGTTTCTATGGTAACGGAAATTGTCGAAAAGATAGCAAATTTCCTAAACTGTAGTCGCTAAAAATACTTACAAATTAGCATTGTTTCAGTAATGACACTATCATTTTTAATTGTTGTTGGATTATTCATTCTGCTTGTTGTGATTTTAATATGTTTTTTGTGTTGTTTTCATTTGGTTTTTTTAAAGTTTGGAATGGAGTGTTCTTACGCTATATTGCTTGTGTAAAGCCACTTTTATTTTTGGCTACTTGTATCAACAGTGAGCTACAATTCTAGTATAAGACTGTTACTGTTGGCACATCTGACAGATGTCTTATGCATTTACTTTGTGTGTGCTTCCTGTGTGGGTTCCAGAGCCAATGTCTTGGAGGAAAAGAAGAATAGACTCACTGCTACCCTAACAAAGCATAGCATGAGAGTCAGTTAATAGAAGGTTTCCTTTGAAGTTGGAGTATGTCTGCCTGAGAGGCAAGGAACCAACAGTCTGCATACAAGTAAGCTAGATCTGTGAAATGGATGTGCACGCAAAGCTCAAATTCTGAAACAAGAATAAAGTCCAAAAGTGGATAAACAACCAAACTTTTCTGGTGAAGTTTACAGCCGGTGAGTGTGCAGAAGAACTTTGCTTGCGTAAGCTACACGATATGCTGGGACTGTTCCCCCCCTCCCCCATCCTACTATTTTTTCAGATGAAACAGTGAAGGTCATTTTATGAGATTTCTACAGGAATGAAACAGCTATGACGCATCCTGTCTGCAGCAACATTGGGATCTGGACTGATGACTAACTGTTTTTAAAAACAAAATAGTTTTTGTTTTTCAACATCAGTAAAAAACAAGAGTTTGAAAGCAAGAGTATTGACATCTTATTGCACCAGCATTCAGGTTCTGTCCACAAAGTGACTGGTTGCCTTTAAGTGCACTACACAAAGCCAAACTCCATAGCTTCAGCAAAGACAATAGAGGTCTCCAAAATGTCTGCACACGCAAACCAAATGATGGAATTGCAAACCAAAGGATGGAGTTGCAAACCAAAGGATGGAGTTGCAAACCAAAGGATGGAGTTGCAAACCAAAAGATGGAGTTGCAAACCAAAGGATGGAGTCGCAAACCAAAGGATGGAGTTGCAAACCAAAGGATGGAGTTGCAAACCAAAAGATGGAGTTGCAAACCAAAGGATGGAGTTGCAAACCAAAGGATAGAGTTGCAAACCAAAGGATGGAGTCGCAAACCAAAGGATGAACTTGTAGACCAAAGGATGGACTTGCAAGCAAAAGGGTGGACTTGCAGACTTCACAGAATAAAGAATAAGTCTGAAATCCAACCCATAACTTTCAGAACAAAAACAAATGGCTTAACTATTCACCACAGAAACCCAGAGAATAACAGCTACATTCCTAACCATTTTTTTTTTTTTCACCCAAAGATGTTTATAATGGACCTAAACACCCAGGGTGGCTCAGCTTGAAACGGGTACCAGGATATGTACTGTGAGTAAAGGTGCGCAGCATGATGTTAACCCATATCACCCACTCAGTGCTAGTTGGTCTATATCAGTATGGGTCTGACACCATATTTCTGATCGGCTAAAGGCATAAAAAGGGGCCTTTAAAATGTTTAAGCTCCTGTAGTACCAAGCAGCTCTCGGTGCCCAGCAACCCATGCTTTTCTGAATGACTTGTTTTCTATCTTTCTGTAGCTTGGACTAGGCCTGTCTCAACGATTGCTTCACTTCCTTGTATCCCACAGTGTTATTGTTCGAAACCTTTACTCAGACACCTATCATTTTAAATAACGACTACCTGGGAAATGAAGAAACACACGCCTGGGACTAAAAGAGTTAAAAGATAGTGTGGAACAAGTCGTTCATTTATGGATGAATGATAGAATATTTGGTATCATTTTTATAGGGCTCTATAGAGTTCTGGAAAATAGCTCCCCTTTTTTTTAGTAAATTGTACATTCCATCATTGTATATATATATATATATATAATTTTTTTCTCCTCTGCAGGAAGCAAATGCCTTTTTTGTGATGACAAATGTACACCCTACTCTTTTGCAAACACAGACAACATGTCCTGAGGTTTGTCTTTTATTCCTTACTTTGTTCCTCCTCCCCCTTCCTGCACGGCATATACAGTTGTTTTATTGTAAATAGTTAGTTGCATGCCCTCTTACAGTTTCTCCAAACCAAACCCTAGCATTTATCAGATGTTTGTGGTTTATTTAACTCTTTCAGCCCCAGGGGGTTTAGCATTACAGGCCCCAGGGGTAGTCCAGAGAGACGTAAAATCGGCACATCTTGCGTTCATTGGGCTTCTAGGTAGTAACCTATGAACACATGATGCGTTCCTTGGGACTAAAAGAGTTAAACACTTTTACTTTTGGTGGTTTGCCGTCGTTGCTTGTTAAACAGTATGACACTCACATCATTGTCGAAATCAGTGCAAAGAGTTCTGCTACCAAGTCACCCATAGCTGACCTTAAATCTTGGTTGGTAAGGTCAAGGTTGTGAAACTGCCTTCATAGCCCCTAATCCACCCATGTGGATATTATCAGGTAAATGTAAATGGGAAGAATTAAAGGTGGAACTGATAGGGAGAACATACCTGTCAAGAGTGGCAAAGGAAAGCAAGAGAAAGAGAGTAGGATTGCTTTCAGTGGTTGTGCAACAAGTAATCGCTCCAAAATGGCAAGTACAGCTAACAACATGCTAGGCCATATCTATGCCCCGGCTATATTCAGGGCCTCCGGCAAAAGCCATAGAATTACATAGCTCTTTTGGAAGAAGTCAGATGCATGTGGAAATATTGTACAAGGTATTGTCAAAATGATTGACCACAGCACACATTGAGTTCTGGTTAGTCTATACAAATTTGGGACTGGTACCATATGTCTAGTACACCTAAGAGTTGAATATAAATCTTTAAATTTTTGAGTGTTTATGACCTAGGCTTTGTTCTAGAAAAATAGGTGCCGGTACTCACACAGAAAGTGCCAATTAAAAAAATATTTAAAAATTAAACATCCCTTTTCAGCCTCTTTGGCGTATCGTGTCTATATGTATCGCCCATATTTTTACAGACCATCGGCACTAGGTGGGTAATGTGGTCAGCATTACGCCAGCCATCTTTACTTCCCCAGGACAGACATTCTGGTACCCATTTTAGGCTGGGTTGACCTGCGATGCCCCATACCATGATAAAAATCCACGCAGCCAGCAGTAGGTTTCGATCACGGTATGTTGGAATTACGAGTCAGACTCGCAACGCCTGAGCAACATACGCCACGAAAGTGCCAGTACTCACCACAGAGTGACTGTTACATACCTCCGGGATAAAGAACCCTGTATATGACACTTATTGCTGCTAAAAAGGGGGAGGGGCGGAATGTGAACATGATGAGAATGCAGTAGCATACTTTGAGAAGAAAAGGGCCATCCAGTCTATCAGAAGTGAACAGAACCTGGCAAGAGATAACCACCACTTACTTGACCAGCATGGGCAGTCATTATACTACATCTCATGACAGAGCATAATAAATTTAACAAAAGTATGCACAGGCTTCGTCTAAGTAGTTCACCATTGTGGCTATGTGGACTGTGTGTGCCAGACTACAGAGCATGTCCTGCAAGATGCAAGATTGTCCCTTGTAAAGCCCATCAGAAAATGTAAAGGTAAAGTCGGGAGATGTGAACCAGCGTCATTGCACACGGTTATAAACCATAAGTGCTCTGCCACCAGTACGGACAGCTGATAAGAAACTGTTGTCTTGTGTCGCCGTTCGCATGCAACTCCGTAGCTACAGCGATGTTCCTCCATTTACCCCAGAGTGTTAACTCTGGTACCGATTACTTAGAGGCTGGATGAACTCTGCGAACCGCTGGGTTTCAAACACGGCCGTGGACTGCAGCGAGTCGCAGCAGGATTTGAAAGCGAGTCTCCTATCAACTGCGCTAATGCGGCCCCCCTAAGAAAAAGCAAAAAGAATACTCGCCCACTGAGTCAACACTGCACTCAAAGTTGTATGGAACTAAAAGAGAACTCCTAAAAACGGTCAAGTTTATCACAAGAACTTGTCTGTGTAAATCAAAAGATGAAAACAAGAGGAACACTCATTGCACCGGAGAAAAGAATGGCATACTTTAATTTAGGTTCTTACTGCTACCTTCTGTATCGAAACTCTTCTTTGTTAAAGAAGAAAAAAAATTGAGAAGTCAGGGTATGTCTCAAGTGCAGTAATGTTATTTTATCCATGGGCAAACCATATCACTCCTTAGGGACACTGGTGCATCTATTTCCGGAGTGCATCAAAGACTGATTAGACCAGAAGATTTAACAGACAAATACATCAATTGTCGTACCTTTGGTGGTAGCATCGAAAGATATCGACTTGCTAACGTGTTTGTTAAAACACCATACTTAGAAAAGTTCATAACTGTGGCAGTATTACCATCCCCTTGTGCTGATTTGATTTTGGGAAACAGGGAAGATTTAAGAACAGTAACCGACAGGGACATTGTAGCTTGGGAACAAAAAAATATTCCAAAGTATTGTCAGAATGAAAGTACGGAAGACAACTCCCCATATCCCAAAGAATGCTGTAATGTGAGTGAGAGTAAGGTTACGAAAGACAACCCTACAAATCCCAGTGAGAGTGTCAACCCAAGTAAGAGCGAAGATACAAAAGGTAACACTCCATACCCCAAAGAAGAATGTGTCAGAGAAAGCTTGGAGAGTGAAAGGAAAAATGAAAATACAAACAGAAGAAAAAGGCCAAAGAATGGATCAGAAAGTATGGAAGAAAGAAGCAAGAAGAGTAGCAGTCGTAACAAAGCCCAACACAGAAAGAAGAAAAGTGGAATGAATGAAAGCGAAGTGTGCAAGAATAAACAGCATACAAAGACAGAAACTAAGCTTAGCAGAAAAAAGTGTGTGGTTACAAAAATAACAGTAACTGAAAACACTCAAAACACAGAAACAAAACACAGTGTAGACAGGTATCAAATGAAACATCCTATTCTCTGTGATTGTTGTAAAAAATATTGCAAATCGCTGGGTCCTGAAACTAGAAAGCGATACGATATGTTAACAAAAAAGTATCATGACATATCACAAAAGAAACACCATGTACAGAAACAGCAGAATGGTACATCACATTACACACATGGTTGGATGTGGATACTACACTTCATTTTAATTATATTGCAGATTATTTTGACAACATTTCAGACAAAGAACTTAGAGTTATTCTGTACTATCTATGCTATTCAAATAGTGCAACTTTTAGTGACTCGGAAAAAATTATCCTAGTCGGAAAAACTGTCAATTCACAAGTCTTGGTGATTATCAAAAGCTGTCAATTTCTCTGTGATTACACAAAAGTGTTACACTACTTGCATTGCTACTACTAAAACTATTGCTTCTACACATGTCTATTTATTCTAAACACTCTGTGATTACACATACAACTTGTCGGTAACAGCAGTCACATACAGCAAGCAGATTATTTTAATATATGGTGATATTAGGTTAACCAGTCCACTTTAATTAAACAGTTTTAATTGTGTCTATATACATTAGCACGGAATTAATTATCATGTATCGGGTATAACAATATTTAGAAACCACCTATTATAGTGTTTCATAATGATGTATTAGTAACATGGAAGTACAAAAAGGCAGATGCCCACGCAACATACGCAGCGAATGTTTGCAAATAGGAGTTCCAAACTGATGGCCTTCGAACCCGGTCAAAAGTGGGTTTCTACCAAAAGATTCAGTTGAATTATATATCGAATGGCGTGGCCCTTACACTGTAGTAAGAAAAGTATCAAATGTTGATTATGAAATTGATTATAAAGGGAAATTGAAAATTTTTCATGTTAACATGATGAAAAGGTATTTTACAAGAAATGTAAGGTATTAACAGGTATTAATAATGTAACAGCATACATGGATGATATTTGCATACACACAAAAACTTTGCCGGAACACATAGACACCTTGAAAGAAGTGTTCAGCAACATTCAAAAGGCAAATCTGACTGTTAATCCAGCGAAATCAGAGTTTTGTTTCACACAAATCCAGTTTTTAGGACATACAGTGTTCCAGGGTAGTATTCAGACTGACGAGACAATTGTTTCTAAAAATTTTAAAAATTGAAAGACCAAAGACCAAGAAACAACTACAGGCACTATTAGGACTTGTAAATTATTACGGCAAATTCATCCCTAAGTTAGCAGAACTAACAGCCCCTCTATCGGAACTTTTGAAAAAAGACCAGTTTAGAAAAAAGGATTGGACAGAAACTCATGACAAAATCATACAAAAAATCAAGTCTTCATTTGCCACTCCACCAATACTAAGACAACCGGACCCATCTAAAACTTTCTACCTACAAACTGACGCTAGTGGTCATACCATAGCCGCGATGTTGGCTCAAAGGCATTCCGGTACTCTTCTTCCGGTTCTATATCTTTCACAGAAACTTAATTCCACCCAACAGAAATACAGTACTTTTGAAAAAGAGGCTCCCGCTCTTGTTGTCAGCCTTAAAAAATTCCAAAAATTCTTGATAGGAAAGGAATTCATTATTCTGACTGATAACTTAGGCCTGACAAAATTGTTAACAATGGATGCAACAAATAACGCAAGAGTATACAGATGGGCGTTATTATTATCCCAATTTCAGTTCAAGATAGAACACATTAAGGGCATTGAAAACCATCTACCCGACGTGATGTCCAGATTATAAACATAGATTCAATTTTGTATTGTATGTATTACCTGGGAAAATCCTGAATTACAGGAAAGAATATGGGTGAATGAATGAAATATGTAAACATAGCTTAACTGATGATTTTTATGTATGTTACATTTGTAAGTAAGCAACAATATACGTGTGACAATGGTGACTATAATGAGGAGAATGATGATGACGATGAGATGAATATGATGACAATAATGCTGATAACGACAACAACAATGATGATGATGATAACGATGATGATGATGACAATAATGATGATGATTATGACAATGAAGACGTTACAACATGGTGAAATAAGGTTTAATAATGATTGCATATGTTGTTTAGATAAATTTATTAGTGAAAATATAGGTTGTATAACATGTAATAGGGTAATTACTATGATATAGAAAGGGAATAATAATACTTTTTCGGAAAAGTAATGGGTAATTTACACCACATAATCCAAGGGATTGAGTTCGAAATCCTAAATAGGGAAACATATGTTTCTAATTGAAACGTAAATCAGTGACAGTAGCCATGAGTCCAACGGTGAGGGTGGGACTTTGCGGGTTTTCTACATTTCTGTTCCATAGCCGATATGGACTTCAGTACTTGAAAGAGAGTACCAGAATTGTTGTTCTGTTTTATACAGACTGTGGGATGGCATGGGGTTAATACGCAGAGCCTATATGGACTACCGCACTTGGAAGAGAGTGCCTGAATGGTTGTTTCCCATTAAGCCACTTGGTACTTATTGGTACTTATAACTGGTAATGTGACAAAGGGAAATAATGTAAAACCTATCAAAAGGGAAGTAACCATTAAAACCCAAAATGATTATTAGGTAATCCACATCATTACATTAAAGTATTCCCAAACCTTTAAAATTATAACCTAAAGATAAAGTAATAGAAAAAAAAAATTTTAAGGTTAAATTTTTTTTACTAGAAGGGAGGGGGAGGGAGATTGTAATGTTGTGAATTCCCGGGGAAACCCCAGAGAGTTCCCGATGGGGAGAAAAAGGTCGGAGGACCCGTGAGAGAAGAGAAAAACGGGAGAAGTGAGTCTCGTGTGTCTCATGGTAAACGAAGTGAGAGACACAAGAAAAGCATGAGACGTGAACGGAAGACGTGAACCGAGAGACTGAAGTAAGACAGTTGAAGTTCTGCCCTGAGAGAGGACGCGTGAATGAACGCCTGAGAAGAATAAATGATTTGTGAAGTGAACGTTATATTTCAATAGGAGGACTGAATGTTTTTCCATACGTCGTAATGTCAGATATCAGAGTCCATGAAGTATAGATGGATGGTTCGAGAGGCGCGGATAAATTCCTGTAGTGTGTGGGAAGTCCGTCCAGGTCGCTAGATTCAGCCAAGCAAGTCGAGCACGAGGAAGCATGAATGTATGTTTGCGATAACTGGCGATTCAACGAATAAAAGCAAAGAACTCAATATTCGTTCATGCTGTGTCGTTTCAACTCACTGTTCGTCTGAAAGCAATGTAAACAATACATGCCCCTAGATGAGCACATTACACATGCGTTTGTCCATCGATGCATGCATGCATCCACCCACCCATCCATCCATCCATCCCATCCATCCATCCATCCATCCATTAAATGTTTAATGTTGTTATAGTTTGTTGTACACAAATAGGGGACATGGTTTTTCTATATATTGTTTTTATTGTTATTGCAGAGCATATCAGTATCAGGGGCACAGTGTCAGTCTGATGAATATTGTCAGAAACTGCTTGGGACCATTTTACCCAAAGGCAATGGTATGTCCTTTAACTCATTCAGGACCTAGCAACTCATCATGAGTTTGCAGGTTTCATCTGACATGTAAGGTAAAATCTCGTTAACACAAATTCCAAGGGACTGAAAAATCAAAGGGTTTATATTTAAAAAAAAAAATATGTGCTTACTGGGGACTAATAAATGATGAATAATATATCCCTGCTCATGTTAACAGAGTATTTGTCTTAAGTGAGTTTGTGTTAACGAGGCTTGACTATCCTTTTTTGGGTTTTAACTTCTTGTGACTCATCCATCTGGTTCATTAACTCTTTCAATTTTCCTATGGCTTGAGAGCTGCATGGCTTGACATGTAGTTGTAACGAACTCACAGAGCATGCTTCGGAAAATAGAAGTGGGCATCCTATGCGTCAAATGGTTTGCATCACATGGTAAATCTCAGATCAAGAGCATTTCTTGAATTTTCTGTCCAGGAGCTTCAGGTGTATGGAGTAATGAGCAAGCCGATGAATTAGCTGCTGATGCTGCCCCTCAAGGTGGGGAGCTACTTAAAGAGATATCCACTTAAATTCCGTCTTTGGGAAGGTAACCCGGGCAACAGATGCTTGCAAAAGTCGGATCTGTTGGTTGGAAGGTTCAGATGTTGTAGACGGGTGCAGAGTGCATTTAGGTCTTTGAATAAACACTGAAGAAGTAGAGTTGTTTCTGTTTTATGATGTTATTATTTTAACTACTTCAGACCTATGTATCTATTATAGCACGTTCACATATTGGTGCCGATATTCAAAATTATATCTCAGCTGTAGTGGAATATCAGTGGATGAAATTATACTTAGATATTTACGTCATTCTCAACGTTATGACGGATTTGTCCATACATAACAATTTAAAACATTTAAATGGTTGGAGCATATTGAAAGAATGTCAGACGACAGAGAAGTAAAAACTGTATACACAGGGAGATGAATGGTCATAGACATTGAGGCAGACCAAGAAGATGATGGAGAGATAATTTCCAGACAGACCTGCAAACACTTGGTGTCACCAACTGGAAAGAGAGGGCCAACCAGAGAAATGAATGGAGGCGGGTGATATCTGCAGCATTGAACTTCAAGGACTCGGAATGCTGAAGAAGAAGAAGAACAATTTAAGACACTTAAGGCACAAAAATAAACATGACGAAAATAACCGTAAAATAATCAAGATTATTGGTTTGTTGTAATGAGAACAACATTCTGATAAAGGCCTGCTACATAATGGTTTTGAATGTTGATAAGGATGATGTCACTGTTTTGTTGTTGTTGTTGTTTTTTGTTCGGTGCTCTTATTCTCTTGTTCTGTCACCACATAGGACCAGTCACTGGATCATGTGTTCCCTCAGGTTATGGGAATGTGTCAGTTTGTTCCATTTTTGGCTGGTGTCCTGTGGAAAACAATGTGTAAGTATGTTTTGATAGCAGAAGTGCTGTTACTCATTTGTCCCAAGTTCTGAATATTGCTGGGTCATTTCAGCGATTGCATTGCTTTGTTTATGAGTGCAATTTTCACAGAGAACTCTGGAGGTCATCACTTTAGCTACAGACTTAGTGCTTTGTGCAATGACCGTTCTGTGGAGAGACAGTAAGCTATATGGAGTAAAACCCAGTGCAATGAAATCATTCTCCTAATTTTTTTTTAACCCCATTTCAACTTTATTTACATGTCCAATAATCTTTGAACAATTGTGCATATTATGAGAGGAAGTCCATAAGTAAGGCTGGAAGAAAAAAAATAAAGACAATAACTTCTTCTGTGTCTTTCTTCTTTGCTTCCACCAGCTGTAAACTCTGGTGGAAAGTACTGGTTGTTCATCCACTTCTGGACTGCAGTCCTGTTCCAGAACCTGAGTGTTGCCTGTGCATCCGTTTGACAGATCTGACACATTTGTGTGCAAACTGTTGGTTCCTTGCCTCTCAGGCAGATGCACTCCGACTTCGAAGGAAGCTCCCAGTTAGTCCACTCTTATGACATACATTTTAGTAGGTAGTGGGCCTATTCTTGTTTTCCCTATAATAGGGCCCCGGAATCCACACATGGGAAGATGATGACAACTTGAAAACTATTTATTTTTGCACTGTCCGTTTATTTTTCAACATTATTTCCACCAACTTTGATGCACTCATCCCATCCTTTTATCAGTCCTCCTAAACCTGCTGCATAGAACTGCCTGCTGTTTTCTAAACCATATTTTTCACTTCACATTCAACTTCTGCATCATTCGCAAAATGCCTCCTGCGAAGGTGGGTTTTCATGGGACCAAAAAGGTGGAAATGTAAATAGGTCGGATTGTAGAATGGATGTTCCAGAAGTTCCCATCCTCGATGGTTAATTTTCTCCTGAGTTAACCGAGCCTTGTGTGGTCTAGCATTTTCATAAAGGAGCAGTACTCCTGTAATCAGCAGGCCTGGATGTTATCTTCAATTGCATCTTGAAGCATTGATAGAACTTTACAGTATGAATCAGCATTCACATTGTCATCTCTTTTTTTTAAACTGGTTAAAAGCACTCCTTGAAAATCCAAGAACACTGACAGCATAACCTTCCCTGCTGATGGCATAACCTTGAATTTGTGAACACAAGGCGAAGAAGGATGTTTCCATTGCATTGAATCACACTTTTATTTGGGCTTCTAGTGATGCTCCCATAATTTGTCTCCAGTAATAATCCTGTTCAGCATTTCTTCTCCTTCATCAGCGTATCGACAGAAATGCTTCAAGGACAGGCCTGATCAGTTCATTTTGTGTTCATCCATCAATTGTCTGGGTACCCACTTTGAGCACAATTTCCTTAAATTTCAGTTGATCTTGCTTTATATTGTATGCTGAACCATGTGAGCACCCTATTTCAGCTGCTACAGAGTCAGCCGTTACTCGCAATCTCAACAGGACAACCAGATAGGACTTCATCAACCATTTTAGAGCGTCCTTGAGAATTTTATTTTTACCCAGCTTTGCGCCGCTTTATGGGATAAACATCTGTTAGCAAAAACAGGATGCATTTCCTTATGAATGTCCTTTCCAGGCAGTCACCCCCCCCCCCCCCACCCCTTTTCACCCCTCCCCCCCCCCCCCCCACTAACACACCCCAAAAAATGTACATCAGCATGTTGTTATTTGAGGGTACACTCCGTAAGTATAGTCGCCATTTTGTTTCTGTGTTGCGAATGCGCAACAAACACCTAGCGCCACCAACTAAATTTTCCTGCCATCCCATAACCATTTGTGACTTACTTGTTGACTTCCCCTCGTATTATGTAATTTGGCAGTTAAATATTGAGATTGATTTTTCTATGGCCAAGAGAAATACACCACCTTGAAGCAAAGCCTGTTATCAAAACAGGCATCATTTATCTGTAATATGGTCAAATTGTAATGTCTTATAGGTAGCAGACGACAGGTAACCCACCATTTTGTATAGCTAGTGAGATTTGCATGGTTACCTTGCAGTGTGAAGCAAAGAGTGAACATTTATTTTGGTTTTTTATTTGAAAAATTGCTATTCAAACATTTTCATTGATGAGATAAGTTTATGGGCATCAGTGTTTTTGTCATGCACTAATATACTGGTGGTATTCGTGATTCAAAACTGACATAGTTACAGTTAAAAAAAAGCATTAGGCCAGGAAGTTCATTTTCTGTTTGCAATAATAAACTATTACCAGAGCCAGAGAAAGGATACGCAAAGACAGATATCTGACTGTGAAGATGATGGCAGATGAATATGATGTTAATTTGATAAACATAGATCATCATAAACTTGTCTCATCAATTCTTCTGTCTCACTAACACTTTTCCAAATTTAAAACACAATTGAATGCTTGCACTTTGCTGCATGCTGTAAACATAACCACACAAATCTCACTAGCTATTAAAAAAAAGGTGGGTTACTTGTTGTCTACCGATTGGTCAGCATTACAGATTGGTCAAATCATAGATGAATGATGCCCGTTTGGATGACATTCTTTACTTCATGGGTGCCTTTTATGTGTGTTTGTCTTGGCCGTAATAAAATCAGTCTCATTATTTATTTGCCTGACTGTGTATGATTATTTACTGGTCAACCAAGCCTAATTTGGAAATCAGAAAATGTCATGGAAATAAATGTGGTCAGCATGGTATTGACCTCATGCTCTATAAAAATGGTCACTGATTTTAGTCATGAAATTTTCTTTTTAAGTTAGAAAGATGGGGAGGACATGGGGAGAGCTGTATGCGGTAGAAAAGGATAGAGCGACTTGGCGTGAGTTGGTTAAGGGCCTATGCTCCATTGGGGGCTATAAAGGCAGCAGAAGAAGAAGAAAAGGGCAGGGGCTTTTCCGTTTTCCTCCGTTTGTAGATTGAAAGGAAATAATTTTGTCACCCCAGCTACTGAGTTGAATGCATGGCATGACACTGTGAGCTGCATAGTTAATTTAGAGTAATTTTTTTTGAAGAAAATCTATTGCTTTCTTTCCAATAGTGTTTTTTTTTTTTTTTTTGAAGAAAAGTTATAATTGCTACCTATTCTATAGTTTTATTTGAAGAAAAGCTAGTGCTGTGTTTCCTATAGTTTTATTTGATAAAAAGTTATTACTGTAATCTTTCCTGTAGTTTTATTTGAAGAAAAGTTGTTATTGCTATCTTTCCTGTAGTTTTATTCGAAAAAAAGTTGTTATTGCTGTCTTTCCTGTAGTTTTATTTGAAGAAAAGTTATTATTGCTATCTTTCCTGTAGTTTTATTTGAAGAAAAGTTATTATTGCTATCTTTCCTGTAGTTTTATTCGAAGAAAAGTTGTTATTGCTATCTTTCCTGTAGTTTTATTCGAAGAAAAGTTCTTATTGCTGTCTTTCCTGTAGTTTTATTTGAAGAAAAGTTATTATTGCTATCTTTCCTGTAGTTTTATTTGAAGAAAAGTTGTTATTGCTATCTTTCCTGTAGTTTTATTCGAAGAAAAGTTGTTATTGCTGTCTTTCCTGTAGTTTTATTTGAAGAAAAGTTATTATTGCTATCTTTCCTGTAGTTTTATTTAAAGAAAAGTTGTTATTGCCATCTTTCCTACTCTTTCTAACATGCCATATATTTGAGAAGTTTATTTATATTGCATCATATTTTTTTGACAGGACATTTGACGCACGCGCATTTTTAGCTTCAGCCAACTTTACAGTTTTTATTAAGAACAACATCGAGTTTCCAAAGTTTGATGTAACCAGGTGAGAAATATTTTAGTTGAAATTTACGTTTGATCTGGGAATTTGAAAGTAAAGGTTCACATCTGTCTTTTTGTATTGAGAAGTTTTAATGAGTATGTCTTTTTTCTAACCTACTTGTAGAGGGTTGGCTAAGGTACACAAATATTTTCTTGATCAATATAATAAAAATAAAATAAAATAAAAGTTATTGTTAAAGTTGAACATTTTATTTTGTCTATATAATAATAAATATAAAGTACTTATTTATTGCCACAGCTTTATTTACAGTGAATATCATGCAGTTGCTCATGGTAATTTTACTTACATATACTTTTAACGGCGTAATGCTGACCACACTACCCACCTAGTGCCGTTAGGTCTGTAAAAAATATGTGTGCTCTTTGCATATGCCTGATGCACCTAAAGGCGTGAAAAGGGATCTTTATTTTACTTACTTAATACTTTAAATAATGATGACAATCTGTGGGAGTACTAGCTGCAATAAAAATGTTCAATGAATGAATCAAGAAATGACATCACTGCACTAGGGAAATTTCTTTGTTGTGTGTTTCGTCCCCTCCTTCGGTAGCCAACGAAGAGTCATCATGCTAATATAAGCAATTGCAGCCAGATTACAAGTCTGCCGTTGTTGACCTCTCAGTGTTGAATATCTTCCAGACCCTCTACATCCCCTCCCCCTTTTTAATTCCTCTTCTTTTGCCTTTCTAGCCCCCAATGGAGCATAGGCCCTGAACCAACTCCTGCCAAGTGGTTCTATCCTTTGCTATCACATGGAGCTCTCCCCATGTCCTCCCCATCTTTCTAACTTAATTCTCCAGCTCTCTTCTCCATGTGTTTTTTGGCCTTCCTTTATTCCTGTGCCCCTGTGGGTTCCAATGCAAAGACATTCTAGTTATGCTATTCTCCGGTTTTCTCAATGTGTGTCCTTTCCAACGCCAGCATCTTTTCCTCACCTCTAGGTCCACTGGAGCTTGCTTAGTTCTCTCCCAAAGCTCTACATTAGTTATTTTATCATACTATTTAATTCCCGCTATTCTGCGCAGGCACCAATTAATGAATGTCTGTAATTTATTAGTAATTGCCTTATTTGTTCTCCATGTTTCCGCCCTATACAAAATTACCCCATTGAATTAGTCTTTCAATTTAGGAGTTCTCTGTCTGTTCTGTTGCACTACCCATTTGATCCCGTAGAGCCCTCATCATATCCACTTTATCATAAAGTAGCTCACAGCCCAGAGGAGCTGCAACAGCTAATCTATCAACCTGCACCTTACCTCGCACACCTAAATATCCTGGACTGTATGTTCCTGATACGGGTCTTATCAAGTGATGCAAGCCAGCTGCATCCAGGATGCCGGTTTCAGTTTTCTGAAGCTTGCTTTGTGAATCTTTTACAATTAAATGTTGGGCTGGGCTACTGTCAAGCCATTGGAAAGCTGCCATAACTGCCTCTACCTCCATTCTCATACTGGATGTAGTGATGTTGCAAGAGAGGCTCTTTTGTTTTCTTCTTCTTCTACTTCTTGTTCACCGGCTGTGAATTCCGGCGGTAAGTCGCGGTTGTTCGTCCAAAATGGACTTTTGGCTTTTACCTTGACCTGAGTTTTGCGTGTACATCCGTTTTACTGGCTTATTTGTTTGCAGTTCTCGTTCCCCGCCTCTCCGGCAGATGTACTCCGACTTCGGAGGAACTTTTGTTTTCAAATACAGGTGTTAATCACAGCTACTATAAGTTCATAGTCTCGTGACAAAATGTCTTGTTTAGTTGGTAATGTATTTCTCTTCGTATCGACCAATTTTTGCAGACGCAATTTGCCAGAGCCAGGATCCATACAGTTGCCAGAAAATGTCACCAGCATCGATGCTTATTTAAACAGCTGCATGTTTAATGGAGACAACCCTAGAGACAAGTATTGCCCGATTTTTCGATTAGAGACGATCGTTAATGGAGCAGGGGTTACGTATGAGAATATATCCCAGGAGGTAGAAAACGTGTCATAATTTAAAAAATAATTATGCTAGTGTTGTTGTTTGCATTCCAAGCTGTAAACCCCGGTGGAAAGATCTGGTTGTTCATCCATTTCTGGATTTTAACTTTGTTCCAGGACCTGAGTTTTGTGTGTGCATCCATTTTACAGATCTTGCTTATTTGTATGCAGACTGTGGGTTCCCTGCTTCTGAGGCAGATACACTCCAAATTTGAAGAATGCCCTCATTTAGTCGACTCCTACAACATGCATGTTGGGTCACTACATTGGACACATCCTGAGAAGAAGCCAGTAGAGAATCACCAAACAGGCACTACAATGGGACTCGCTGCAGCCACAGTCGGTGTTTGAAACCGGGCGTTTCCCGGGGTTCACCCAGTCTCTAGGAAATGGGTACCAGAGTTGACACTCTGGGGTAAATGGAGGAACGTCGCAGTAGCTACAGAGTTACATGCGGACGGCGACACATGCGGGCAGTTTCTTATCAGCTGTCCGTGCTGGTGGCAGAACACTTATGGTTTATATCTGTGTGTAATGACGCTGGTTCACATCTCCCGACTTTACCTTTACATATGGCTTGGGCAGTACTGGTTGATGACCTGTGATCCTTTGGTGTGTACCAGCATAGTAATCTAAAGCTAGTCATATATAAATTACATATGTGCTAAAGTCATATATAAATTGCATATGTGCTAAAGTCATATATAAATTACATATGTGCTAAAGTCATATATAAATTACATGTGTGCTAAAGTCATATATAAATTACATGTGTGCTAAAGTCATATATAAATGACATGTGGGCTTAAATCATATATAAATTACATGTGTGCTATAGTCATATATAAATTACATATGTGATAAAGTCATATATAATTTACATGTTTGCTAAAGTCATATATAAATTACATGTGTGCTAAAGTCATATATAAATTACATGTGTGCTAAAGTCATAAATAAATTACATGTGTGCTAAAGTCATATATAAATTACATGTGTGCTAAAGTCATATATAAATTACATGTGTGCTAAAGTCATATATAAATTACATGTGTGCTAAAGTCATATATAAATTACATGTGTGCTAAAGTCATATATAAATTACATGTGTGCTAAAGTCATATATAAATTACATGTGTGCTAAAGTCATATATAAATTAAATGTGTGCTAAAGTCATATATAAATTAAATGTGTGCTATAGTCATATATAAATTACATATGTGATAAAGTCATATATAAATTACATGTTTGCTAAAGTCATATATAAATTACATGTGTGCTAAAGTCATATATAAATTACATGTGTGCTAAAGTCATATATAAATTACATGTGTGCTAAAGTCATATATAAATTACTTGTGTGCTAAAGTCATAAATAAATTACATGTGTGCTAAAGTCATAAATAAATTACATATGTGCTAAAGTCATATATAAATTACATGAGTGCAAAAGTCATATATAAATTACATATGAGCTAAAGTCATATATAAATTACATTAGTGCTAAAGTCAAATATAAATTACATGTGTGCTAAAGTCATATATAAATTACACATGTGCTAAAGTCATAAAACATATATAAATTACATATGTGCTAAAGTCATATATAAATTACACATGTGCTAAAGTCATAAAACATATGTAAATTACATATGTGCTAAAGTTATGTAATATATAAAATTTCATGTGTGCTAAAGTTTATATATAAATGTCATATCATTTATAAATTACGTATGTGCTACTTAAGTCCTAGTAAACATAAATGACATGTGCTCAGTGAACTAATTTGCGACATTCTTTCTTTCCCAGGGTGGGGTCATGCAAATTATAATTGACTGGACGTGTGATTTGGACTACAGTGAAAACAGTTGTTTGCCAGAGTATTCATTCAGGCGCCTGGACAAAGGTGATTACAGTATTTCCAAGGGATTCAATTTTAGGTAGGTTTTATGTTAATGTCATGTTTGGTTCAGTCAGTCCTCAGGCCAAAAGAACAGAAATCTACAAATACTTGGGTACACACTAACAGAAGAAATAGTCAGAAATAACTACAGGGATTGATAGATAACGGTGGTGGTAGAAAGCGATCAAATGGGTCTCAGTGTGAATAATGGGAATAATAGACTCACTGCCTCCCCCACAAGCATATCGTAGGAGTCGACTAATTAGAAACATACTTCGAAGTTGGAGTGCATCTGCCTGAGAGGCAAAGAACCACAACTCTGTGTACAAATAAGCCAGATCTGTGAAATGGATGCGCATGCAGCACTCAGGTTCTGGAGCAAGACTAAAGTCTGGAGGTGGACAAACACCCAGAGCTTTTAACTGGAGTTTACAGCCAGTGAGCATGAACAGAAGAAGAAGAATATTGATGCATGGAGGTAGTTGCTGAAGCTTATAGAGTTTGTGCTTTGTGCATGGTATTGCCTGGAAGGGGAAAATCAGGAAGGGAATAGAGATAAAGCAGAAAAACGATTGCAGGCAAATTAAGAACTGAGCATCCAAGCAGCAGCACACTAAATGCATGTGATTGCAACAACGGCCCTGAACTCCCATGCCCTAATTGTGGAACACTTTTCTTCATGTGAGCCGGTCTTGCTAGTTATACTCGCCATTACCACGGGTTGTTATTTTGTCTGCTTTAGCATGACGTGACACTATTGTCTGAAAAGATTAAAAAGGATAATTTACTGAGTGGTGGTAATCCTTGCATTCTTGTTTCAGGTATGCAGACCATTTTGCGATGATGGTCAACGATACATCAGTCATGTACAGGAACCTGTATAAGGCCACTGGAATCCGCTTCCTGGTCACAGTTCAAGGTCAAGCTGGCCAGTTCAGAATTGTACCTTTACTCCTTAACATTGGCAGTGGAATGGCTCTTTTGGGAATAGTAAGTTTTTTTGTTTTTTTTCTTAAAATCTGCTTTATGTTATGTTATCACAGTCGATGTCTTTGCACATTGGGCATCCCCATGCATGCTCAGTCCTCTTAGGTAGCTCCACTGATTGTTCCCATGAGGAGTTGGTTATAGTATCTCCTGTTTTTACTTTAAAGATGTCATAGACATGGTTCACCAAGTGAAACTCCTCAGTCACGCAGTCAGCGTTAGAGATTCACCATTGTCCCCAACCTAGTCCATACAGCATTGATGAAATCAGCTCTGTCCATGCTTCTTCCAGTTTGCACTGGGGCGTTACTTGCCAGCTGGTCAGCTCTTTCATTACTGTTTACTCTGGCATGCCTAGGTGTGTAGATTGTGGGCTGTACACCAAACTTTATTGTTACTATGTGGGCTGTACACTGAACATTATTGTTACCTTGAAGGCTGTACACTAAACATTATTGTTACCTTGTAGGCTGTACACTGAACATTATTGTTACCTTGTGGGCTGTACATTGAAAATTATTGTTACCTTGTAAGCTGTACACTTAACATTATTGTTACTTTGTAGGCTGTACACTTAACATTATTGTTACCTTGTGGGCTGTACACTGAACATTATTGTTACCTTGTAGGCTGTACACTGAACATTATTGTTTACCTTGTAGGCTGTACACTAAACATTATTTTTACCTTGTGGGCTGTACACTGAACATTATTGTTACTTTGTGGGCTGTACACTAAACATTATTGTTACCTTGTGGGCTGTACACTAAACATTATTGTTACCTTGTAGGCTGTACACTGAACGTTATTGTTACTTTGTGGGCTGTAAACTGAACTTTATTGTTACCTTGTGGGCTGTACACTGAACATTATTGTTACCTTGTGGGCTGTACACTGAACATTATTGTTACCTTGTAGGCTGTACACTGAACATTATTGTTACCTTGTAGGCTGTACACTAAACATTATTTTTACCTTGTGGGCTGTACACTGAACATTATTGTTACTTTGTGGGCTGTACACTAAACATTATTGTTACCTTGTGGGCTGTACACTAAACATTATTGTTACCTTGTAGGCTGTACACTGAACGTTATTGTTACTTTGTGGGCTGTAAACTGAACTTTATTGTTACCTTGTGGGCTGTACACTGAACATTATTGTTACCTTGTGGGCTGTACACTGAACATTATTGTTACCTTGTAGGCTGTACACTGAACATTATTGTTTACCTTGTAGGCTGTACACTAAACATTATTTTTACCTTGTGGGCTGTACACTGAACATTATTGTTACCTTGTGGGCTGTATACTAAACATTATTTTTACCTTGTGGGCTGTACACTGAACATTATTGTTACCTTGTGGGCTGTACACTAAACATTATTTTTACCTTGTGGGCTGTACACTGAACATTATTGTTACCTTGTAGGCTGTACACTAAACAATATTGTTACCTTGTAGGCTGTACACTGAACATTACTTTTACCTTGTGGGCTGTACACTGAACATTATTGTTACCTTGTGGGCTGTACATTTAAAATTATTGTTACCTTGTAAGCTGTACACTTAACATTATTGTTACCTTGTAGGCTGTACACTTAACATTATTGTTACCTTGTGGGCTGTACACTAAACATTATTGTTACCTTGTGGGCTGTACACTAAACATTATTGTTACCTTGTAGGCTGTACAATGAACGTTATTGTTACTTTGTGGGCTGTAAACTGAACTTTATTGTTACCTTGTGGGCTGTACACTGAACATTATTGTTACCTTGTGGGCTGTACACAACATTATTGTTACTTTGTAGGCGGTACACTGAACATTATTGTTACTTTGTAGGCGGTACACTGAACATTATTGTTACCTTGTGGGCTGTACACTTAACATTATTGTTACTTTGTAGGTGGTACACTGAACATTATTGTTACCTTGTGGGCGGTACATTAAACATTATTGTTACCTTGTGGGCTGTACACTGAACATTATTGTTACCTTGTGGGCTGTACACTGAACATTGTTGTTACCTTGTAGGCTGTACACTGAACATTATTGTTACCTTGTAGGCTGTACACTGAACATTATTGTTACCTTGTAGGCTGTACACTGACCATTATTGCTGCATTGTGGGCTGTACACCAAACATTGCTGCATTTTGGGCCATATGCTTAACAGTATTCCTGCATTTCCATAGATAGAAATGCTGTTGTTTGAATTTTTTTATTATCACCCAAGTAAAGATATTGTTAACTTGTGTTGTTGGGGTAACTTAACTGCACATTGTTGTCACATATCTACAGGCAACAGTGTTGTGTGACTTTGTCGTTCTTTACCTCCTGAAAGCAAGAGCATTCTATAAAGAAAAGAAGTATTTGGATGTCAAAGGTCAAGATGCATTTGAGGTAGGTTTATTTTCTAATCTCAGAGTTAATATAAGTCTGATATGTGTAGTGCAGTTTCTTATCTATTGATAAACAGAGGAAAACAGTGAGAAAAATATTTTCGCAGTCTTTCATGTTTGAACTGAAACATTACAGCGCATGAATGGATACTTTATGTATTTAAGGAATAATGAACGAACGATTGAATGAACAAACTGTTCACAAAGAGTTACAAATTGGGCATGCAGGTCTGTCTTACACTTGGCCAGATCCGCGAGAGATCAGTGGTCTGCATACAAATCAGCCAGATCTGTAAAATGGATGCACATGCAAAACTCAAGTTCCTTAACAAGACCAAATTCCAGAAGTGGACGAACAGCCTGAACTTTCTACTGGAGTTTACAGCTGGTTAACATTAAGAAGAAGATTAAGATTTGCATCTAAAGTAATTATATTTTATGGAAAAGTATCTTAATTATATTTTATGGAAAAGTATCTTAATTATATTTTATGGAAAAGTATCTTAATTATATTTTATGGAAAAGTATCTTAATTATATTTTATGGAAAAGTATCTTAATTATATTTTATGGAAAAGTATCTTAATGATATGTTATGGAAAAGTATCTTAATGATATGTTATGGAAAAGTGTCTTATATAAAAATGACATTTAAATGCCATGGCACAAAATACTTATATGTAAGTTGTATATGTAACTCCAACTCTGTATGTATGTGCAGTTCACAATACATCTTTATATTTAAGTGCGTGCTATAAGACATCTGTATAAGTAAATCCCTGCAAATAAGCAAGCAGACATGTGGGTTTAGTATGCTTTACACTGTTTTATTTTTAATTATTACATATCATTCTTTTTTTGTTTGTTTTATTCCATTAAAAATATTTATTTAAAGTATGATTTAAAGGATGTGTACTGTCACCTGATTTGTTTTCACTATACAGTGAATATATAATGAGAGCTTTAATTGGTATGCCCGGAATTGTGGTTGGTGGGCACAATATAAATAATTTACGTTATGCTGATGACACAGTCTTGATAGCAACAAGTCAGAAAGAACTACAGGAAATGATAGACATTGTGGTGTTAGAAAGTGGAAGAATGGGCCTCAGTTTGAATAATGGGAAGACAGAAGTAATGGTGGTATCAAAGAAACGAATTATTCCTAAGTGTGTAATAAAAGTTGATGGTGTTATTTTAGGACAAGTACAGAAATTTAAGTATCTGGGCACATGGATAACATCAGATGGAAGATGCATATCTGAGATAAGAAACAGAATAGGACAGGCAAAAACTGCATTTTATCAAATGAAAAACATCTTGTGCAATATATCCTTGTCATTGAGAGTTAGAAAAAGAATTCTTGCTTGCTACATACATCCAGTTTTAACATATGGCTGTGAATCCTGGACAATAGGTAGGCAGGCCAAACAATTCCTGGAAGCCTCGAAGATGTGGTTTTACAGAAGAATGCTTAGAATACCTTGGACAGCCAAAAAGAGCAACCAAGAGGTTTTGAAAGAGGCGGGAGCCCAAAGACAACTTATCACAGACATCAGAAGGAGACAGTCATCATTTTTCAGCCATGTTATGAGAAGAGGGAAAATAGAACATGTTGTGACCACTGGAAAGATATGTGGAAGGAGAGATAGAGGTAGACAACGAGAGAAGATGCTTGACAGTCTTGTTGCATGGCATGGAGGTGTGTCGGCACACGAAGTGATACATGCTGCAGGAGATCGCAGATTATGGAGAGGCATGATCGCCCACGCCAGTCGGCAAGGCACCTGATGATGATGATGATTTAAAGTATGGTTGATTTATAGTTTGTGAATAAAATAATAATAAAATTAATTACATTTGCTTTATTAATTATTTTATTCTGGATGATGATGTTGGGATTAAGATTCTTTGGTCGAACATTATCAGTCCAGTGACTGAATCATGACTTATAGTGAGACCATATGTGTAATTTAAACCTTTCGGTGAATTAGAAATCAGAGAGGCAAAGATAAAACATGAGTAAATACAACAGTAAAATCACAACAACATACACATATATTTGTTCTATCTATCAATTAATTGTCTGAATAAATCACGTTACATGTATGCACAATATAGATATTTATATATAGATATATATATAATTAGGGTAATTGTTATTATTTACTTGTATCACTACTCATGTCTGTTGATTTTAAATCTGCTATCATTTTTTAATACATTTATATTATTTATTAAGGTAATTTTTATTATATTCTCTTTTACCAAAACTCATGTCTGTTTATTTAAAATCTACCATCGTTTAAAAAAAAAAACATTTATGTTCGTTATTAAGGTAATTATTATTTTCTTATACCAATACTGTTTCTTTTAATATTTTTATCTATAATGATTTTTTAAAATACATTTGTATCCTATTATTAGACTGATTATCGTTTTACTTATACCAGACTCCATTTGTTAACATTTGTTTTATCTGCTATCATTTCTGTTCCTTTTTTCCCCAGTAATGTTTTATCCTCTGAAACAATTTTTCCTTAAAATGATATATTCAGATGACGCAAAAATGTTCTTCCATTGTAACCGAGTGGCTTGCTAGCTCATTATTTGCATTGTAGAATAGTTTTTGATTCAATCTCTTAGTGGTGGGCAAGTCGGCGGAGGATTCACCGGTTCAAAAAGGAAATGCCCAAGATGAACATCATTCTTAATAGTGCTATTGACAGAGCTCATCAACGAATGTTACATCTCCCCCCGACACTTCGCTGAGGTCCAAGGTGAAAAAGAAGAAGAAAAAGAAGAAGAAGTGGTGGGATTTTATTTTATGGCCACCTGACTCTGGGACAAATGTAAAGTCAAGAGGATCAACTTTATTGAAAGAGCCAACAGGCTGGTTGTACCTGCCATGGTTAGTAGAAGAAGAAGTCTGGACAGGGCAGACATGCTGAATGTGCTGCGTTCCAGAGAGGTTGAGACAAAAAAGCCGGAGACAGTGAACCGCCTGTTGGAAATGGGAATTAACCCTAGCAGATCTGAGGCCCTGAACCTAACTGCCCCCTATAGCTGAGCTCCTGGGCATCAACACGAAAAACCAACATGATGTACACAAATATTAGTTACATGCAAACAAGGGGTTAGAATAAGATTAAACTTGGAGACATTGTAGAAAATAGGTTAACCTTTCATCTAGCGCCAATCTTCCACCTTTGTGTGCCAATCCCCCCAGCAAGATCGGCCATGTATCACAAAATGAGCATCAGATGTTGCTGTTTGAGGGACACGCCCCCTTCCCCTACTATCGATCTAGTTTTAAATCTATAATTGTCATTCTCCTCATCACTTGAGTTCTCACTGACTGTGTCACTTCAACTAGGAACATATTCTCCTCAAAGACTGAATCAACCAAAGTATCGATCACCTGTTGGACTGTGAAAAGCCTAAACTTACTTCACTTTCCTGTCGAAGTGCCTGGTTCATAAGCCGCTCGTTTCATTGTGAATTTTCAGAATTTTTTTCACGGTAAACCACGCAAAGTAAATCCAAACGCACGTGGGCAGCAATTAACAAGGACTAACCATGAGGTCTGACCATGATTGGCTAGTTGTTTTTAGTTTGTGATGCATTGTTTTCACAGAGTCCTGGCAAGTGGCCTGCGAATCATTTCCCACTGTAAGGTATTAGTGATATTCCTGTGTTGGAGCTAGGGCCTTTGGCCTGCAGCGATTACCCTTTTTTCACAGTTTGACCCCTGAGTAAACAAAGCTGAAAAGCCCTGGCCTAGAACATGTAGAAGCCTAAAACTTCTCATCCCATTGGCAGCAGCTGTTTGTGGGAGTCACTGTGTCGAAGCGGTCAAGTTGTTCGCCCCGCACTCTGAAGGTCATGGGTTCATTTCATGCTGCTTCGTTCAATTTACAAATACAATATTTTTACAGAGATCTCTGGAGATCAGTGCAGAAGCTACAAAGCTCGTGTTTGGTGTGATGCTCATGGTAGGGGGGGGGGGGGGCAAGCCATTCTGTGGAGAGAGACTGAGCCATGTGGAATGAAACTTAACTCCACTAAAGTCGATCCTCTTGGCTATAACTTTAGTAGCTCTTTTGCAATTACTTTAGCTCTGGGATTAACCCATTGATGCACTCGCATAAAATTAATACTGGAAACTAAAACTGACCTCATCACCCCTTTGAATGCCATTTGGTCAATGAGTACACACCTAGAACCATACCACATACATATCATGACATACATCCTCCCCTTATGTCCCCTGTATTTTTTTTTTTTTTTTTTGTGGATAAATTTGCAGATATTGCTTACATAGATAATGCTAATATAGCACAGCTTTTAAATGTCTCTTCCAACAGTGCATAACTTTATAGCTTATCCAGCTTTATCTGCTATCCTTTATTTGCTTGATTCCTTTGTTTCTGTGCTGGTGGTTGCCTCCATCTAATTGTTTCTACCTCTGCAGTGTAACACAGTGATTCCCAGACTGTGCGTCGTGGCGCACTGGGAAACCACGACCTCTTCACGAGGGCACCATGAAATATTTGAAGATACATGAGTTGTATTTTTTTTTTAAATCTCTTACATACAAATTGTCATATTTTTACTTAGGTAGTGGTGCAGTGGAAAAAATTTTAATTGAAAAAAGGCGCTGCGACTAAGAAAAGTTTGGGTGTAACCAAAAGAAAAATGGAAAACAATAAGTTTATTTTAGCTTTACAGAACCAGTTACCATAAGAGGAACAAAGGATGTTTCTGTGACTAGCCTCCTAGCGATGTTCATCCATCGCAAGGGATAAAAACCACTTCGAATCCACAGGTTGTGATGTTCAGTGACTGTGAGTACAAAGATGGCTGATAAGTCCCATTTGAGCCTGGAAAATTCATGAGCGGTGAAGGCAAAAGATGGAAGTGGCAGTAGAGGTGGGGTTTGCACCCAGTTTCTAGCCTGTCTCTGTTCCTATGTAGGTACAACCTCCACTGCCTGGCAGGC